ATACACAGAGGATGTGCAAATAACAGTGTTTAGGAGTGGGTTCTGAAGTCAGTCCCACTCTGCCATTTCTAATCCCAGCTCTGAATTCTAGTCCCGGCTCTGCCATTTCTAGCTTTTCAATTTTAAGCAATATACATATTGTTTCTTCTGGATCTCAGTGATACCACCTTCCAATAACATAAAATGAGATTAATAGTAGCACTTACCTCAAAGTGTTATTGTGAGAATTATATTAAATAATTTATGCAAAGTACTGAGCACGATGCCTGATATATAGTATATAATGCATAAAAAAGTGTTAGCCTTTACTATTATTACAGTCAAACATGATTAGCCATGCAGATGACGTAATGTAGCCAAAAAAAAATCTAGGAGCACTGAATATTTATACAGTCTTTGACTTTTTCACATTTTTAAACTTATATTTGCCTGCTGTTTGGGCAATCTACAAAGTTCCAAACAAACTAATATATCCCAAATGTGTGACACTGGGTTTAAAACGCAATTCCTGGGTTTAAAATTATTCTTTGCTGTCCAAGTGTAAAATTTCTCCTTTATCTCTCATATTAATGAAAGCAGCTAACATAAATGAGTTGCTCCTTCTCTCTGAAAGCATTTTTGTTTAATCTTGGTTTGGACTAGAGGAAGTAATTAAGTTCTAGGTTTAAAAGACATCTCAGTAGGTAGCAAAGTAGTAGAACTGAAAGGAAACAGATCACCAGATAGTCACAACAGATTCTCTCTTAATGTGCTTAATTTTATCAGAAAAAAAATGAAATACAAAATTCACCTTTGATAATTCAGTTGAAGCAAAAACTATTCCTATAACAATACATAGTTGATTATACAATATATACTTTTAAAAATATTCAAAATTAGCCACAGAGAATTTGAACATTCAACCTGATTATGTCTGGGTTTTAATTTATTTTTCCCCAAGTTAATCCACAGAGAGGGTTAACCTTAAGGTTTATTGATCATTACCCTTCATCAACAGTCTGTGATGAAGAGATGAAACCACATACTCTTCTCATTTCTACATACTCTTCTCTCCTATTACATTATGAAATTTTCATAAATGTCCACAATACATTCTTCCCTATAACTATTTAACTTTTAAATATTTTTAAATACCCAAGAATCACCCTCATTGATAACTGTGTTTCTCAAGCCTCTTTAAATTAAGCTAAATTACTCCAATGGCTTTGCCAAAGTTGCTGTGAAATTTAGGAAATCAGCCATCAAATACTGGGCACTAAATTGAAGACATCGATCAGTCTCTGCATTTCTCACTGAAAGGTGCCATTCTTCACTGTTTAGAGGATCCAAAAAGCATGCCCATTCAAACAGTGAATAGTTTTTGATTTTGGTCTTTCAAGGAGTTTATGAATAGCTTTAAATAGCATTTAAACAAAGCTTGGCAGCTATGACAAAGACTAAAGCCTAAATTAAATCAAAGTTCAATTTACAAATACGGAGGCAGAGCAGCAAAACATTCCATCACTTAAAATATAATTAGTCGAGAACCACATAATGAAGAACTGTGGTTTGCTATTAAATGAAGAAAATAATGTGACTAGTAACATGATTTAGCAATCAAAAGTTTTCATTTTATTCACTTGTTTTTGTAACTTGTGTACAGAGTACCACCAAAAAGAATAATTATGTATATTTAATTTAATATGTGAACAATCCAAACTACAACTATCTTCTCTTAGCAGCTATAAAAGAGATCATTTTATAGAAGTCATTTCATAAATTAAATTCTCAGGAACCATCTGTTTTCCATAATCATAAAATTTCTACTTTAAAGCACAAATAGAATGCATAGAGGATGCTGTATGGAGATCATTATTGATACAGTAGAAAGAAATATGAGAGCAAAACACTTCCAAGCCAGTGAAAATTTTCCAATCTATCATTACTCTAAGCAATTCTGACCAAATGTAAATGCTGATTTTTTTCAAAGCTATTGCAATTTATTAAGTTATATAGTCACAGGACATTCTATTCCTTTTCTATGAAATGTAAATTTAGAAGGCATTATAATCTCAAAAAAATTGTGGCATATACTACTTTGTCAAAGCAGGTCAAAGACATGCATATACTATTCTGAATAGACAGGGTCACTTCCTGTGGGCAGAGAGCTTTGAAGCTGCATTCTTGCTAAATGGTTCCCACCAAGAGAAATAGTACTAAAGCTTGGATTTTCACCTGTGAACTATCAAAGATGAATTTAAGCTTTCTAAAACATACATGTCTTCTCCATATTCCTGGATTTCACTTAACATTTACTCGACTTATTGACATTTACCTTTACATATACTATCCCTCCTTCACACTAGCTCCCCATTTTGCTATTCCCTTATACGCACCTGCCCAAACAAACCTACTTTCACCTACAGAACTTACTCCTTCTTCCCCATCTTACTTCATGTTTACATTTATCTCTTCATGCCTATTAGCTGCCAAGCATCAGTGGGAAGATACATTTCTTTGCGGTTAAGCACATGTTCTTTGAATTCAAGCAGCTTACATTGGATTCAAGCTCTGGGGCTTGCTAGGTGTATAAAAACATTGTTTAGGGCTGGGTATTTAGCTCAGTGGTTCTGCCACCTGCCTCGAAAGCAGAAGGTCCCGAGTTTGATCCCTGGTACCAAAAAAAAAATTGTTTAATCTCTCTGAAAATTAATTTCCTTCTCTGAAAAATAGAGATAATAATGACTATTGTCAAGAAAAAAATCAGATAGCTTATAAGTTCTATAAGTTACACTTCTAAGTTTTCCTGACTATCCTTATTTAGGGCTACTACCAAAACATTGTTGTGAAGGCCAAAATATAATACTTGCTTTCACTACAAGTGATACTTCTCTGTACTGGGGCTAATTTAAATGCAAGTTTGAAAACATGTTTTTGGTTTCTTTTAAATTTGGGTTACGAAATACTGGAAGTCTTGGGTTACAAATAAGTTGACATTATCTTGCCAATTATCGCAGATCCAGATCTTCCTCTGTCCAATAAAACATATAATACTGGTTATTTTATGACATTCAGTATTAAGAGCCAAAAACAGTCAGATATTACACTAACCAAAACCCAATTTTAAATATTCTTTAGACAAATAAATTTAGTCACTTACAAAAATATCTTCCTTTGTGCAATTGTTTGGTTCCATCAGCTATCTCTCCCCAAATTTCTAAATCATTTGTTGAAAACAATATTGCCACAACTTTAAAGTAGAACTTTAAAACTGCAAACTGAAGAGTCCCTTTCTGAAGTAAATAATCACTACCCTATTTATGTTATACAAGAGATCTCTCTAAAGTGTGCTTATTTTGTATTGTTTTAGTATTTTTAAGTACTGTAAAATTACAATAAAGCAAGGATTTATCTTGATAATTAGCAATAGAATGTTGACAACACGTTTATATTAACTATAATAACTGAAACCATGGACAAACCTTTACCCATGAGAAAAAAATTTAGACTAAACACAAATACCATAAACATCTGCCTTTTGCAATTTTTAACAACAAAGTCCAATAAAGAAATTAATAAAAGTTTCAATCATTTTTAAGGCTCTTTGAAATTTAAGTGTTAACAAAGAGAAAGGTTCATTTGTTCTTATTTGATTAGACTTCTTTTTGAGTGAAGGGGGCAGTAAAAGAGAGCACAAATAACAAATAGCAGTATTGAAATTTTAGGGCCCCCAAAGATAAGCTAACCACCGTATTTGTTCAATTTAATTAGGGGTGTAACTAAAGGCATTGAGCTAGTCTTTGAAACATTACAATTATTGTATTAGATTGAGATTCTGAGCAACTCAAATTTTACTTTGAAATATCAGAATATATATGAAAAATAATAAGACAAAAGACTTATACTGTGAGGTTCCAAAGGAAATTTAAAGGAGTTTTTTTGCAACTGAAACTTGCTCCAAAGATATGATTTTTTGACCATCTCAAAATTGTCTAAACATGCCCACACACAGTGACTAGAGAAGAGAAAACTCAAGGTGCAAAGTTCTTGCAATTCCACATAACCTTCAGTTCGATTCCAAATCTTCTTAGAAGTAAATATTAAAAAACAAAACAAAGCAAAACAAAAAACCAAGAACCCAGAATCACTGCTGTTCTAAAAGTAAAAGTAGAGGGAGGGTTTCCTACATCTTCCATCTTCAACCCCACACATCTGCTCCTGCTTTTCTCTTGACTTGTGAAGAACAGACATTTTCCTTTAAAGCAGATATTCTCAGCTTTCACAGTTTATCCTCTCCTCAGAATTGCTGAAAAATTGTTATCCTCACTTAACAATTAGCAAATGGATCCAGGCGAAAGACCTATCTTTTGAAGAAGCAGCAACTCAGCCTGCCACTTCAGAAAAAGCAACTTGCTAGCTCCCTTTCTAGTTCTCAGTATATAGAGACCAGTTAAGAAATGTTAGAAGTAAAACCTTCTGAAAGAAAAATTCAAAATGACAAACAATATATGGGAAAAACCATGTGTAATGTTACAAAGTTTTTAAAAAATAGTATAATTGTTCTCAACTTCCTTCCCGTTTTGTGTAGTTTTAACATGCCTTTAAACTGAAGTTAAACACTCTTCTACGTACTCTTAAAATAAATGTTACAAGAGTCTCGTCTTTTAGAATAATCCCAGAGCCTCAGTAGGTAGGCCTCCACGAAATCTCCCATCAGTAACAGCTGTGCACCTCCATCCTTTACAAAAATGCACCCCTTCCGTTTGCATCATTACTTAGAGCATATACGCCAAATGCCTCACTCTTGAAACCCACCAGTGTCTGATTTTATTTGACTTTTTCATCTAACCCTAAAGAACCAATAGCACCAGCTCCCATTTCCCAAAACTTCGTAGCTTCCTTCATAAGAGAAACGTGCCCCCAACATCGTAAGGCAAACAAAGCTAAAATTTCCCTGAAAAAATAAAATCGATACAATAAAGGAAGAAAGGGAAGAAAGGAGTAGGGTGGGGGATGCGTACATCTTCCGAAGGAGAGGCTCCCAGATGAGCAGCAATTTCATGGTTCTGGAGCAGAAGAGACCAGTAGGTAAGAAAAATAACAAAGGTAGACTCCCCTCTCCTTACCGCTGTAGATCCAGAAGAAGATGCAATATATACACGGATCACCATCCTGGGAACAGTGGCTTGCAGTTGTTTGGATCCTGAAAAGGGCTGCAGAGCAGCTGCAACAAGGTTGGAAATGAGCTAGGGGCCCCCCAACAGAGAACAGGAGGCTGGGGGAAGGAAGAAAGGAAACTCTCCAGAGCCCCGCCTCCGCCCTTAGCTGCTTTCAACAGGCTCAGAGGACTGCAGTCCAGCCCCAAACCCCGGAAGGCACAGGCTCTTTTGCATCATTTCTACTTTTTTAAATAGAGAATCTCGAATAGCACCGCGAGATCTGTTGAAACAATTTTTTTTGACTATTCCTTCCTCTAGAAAAGGGGGAAGAGGAGAAAGAAAAAACAAACAATGAATTGAATTAGATTACAATGAAGGACTTTTTCTATACAAACCAAAATTTTTTGAGTAACTTCCTGGTCAGAAATGTACGCAAATCAGAAGATAGATCTTCCTTGAAATGGCAAGTTCTGTGTTAAATCCCGACACTACTAAGAAAAACCCCAAGTTCTCAAAGCCTTGAACATTTTAAGACTTCTATAATGTAATGATTTTTATGATGTTAGCTGTTTGCAGTAATTGTGCAATGAAATACTGGGCCAGGGTTCAAAGTTTCAGGTTCCCTAAACCCGGAAAAGAAAGGATTAGTTTTCTTTTTGAGTTTTGCTTTCTATTAAAATAGGAAATCTTTCTTCTGCGGGCATTTTACAGGAGGCCTGATTGGCAAACTCAAGAATGGAGGAGAAAATTGCAAACAAAACTTGAAAATAATGTGAAAGAATGTGCTTTGCTTTGCATTTTATCTGACTAAGAAGAGTTTGGAGCATATATCGCAGGAAATGTTGAGATGATACAAAGAAAGCAGGTATTTGCAGCTTAGGGAAAGGAGCAAATAATTGGTAATGTATAAGAGAGGGACTATATACTTAAAATTGTAGTTTCAAGTTCCCAGATTATCTCAAATGAATAGAAAAATCTGCAAGACGAACGAGACAAGAAAGTTGGTCACCTGTCCTACTTTTTACTTTTCTTTTGTAATTTGTCTTCCCTCTCCAATCTAGTAGTTTACATTTGCCAAGGCAAAAAATTGCAGCAGCTTCCTAAAAGTTCCCTGCCTGCAGATTCTGTCTTCTTCAAACTACTTTATACACTAACTCTAAATTAATCTCTTTATGTATGGCCCATACAATAATCTTGAGAGGTAGGTACTACACTGTTTTTTACAGGGGAAGAAACTGAAACTTAGGAAAATAAGTAATTTTCCCAGTCATATAAGATAGCTAGCAAACTCTAGAGTCAGGACTTGAACTCTGGTCCAACCATCTCCAAAGACAACTCTCTTACCTATTATTGTAACATTTAAAATGTTAGCTATTTTTCATCCTAAAATACTGCTTTTATATAAGGCAATGTAGGCTGAAATACTTAAGATAGTTTTCCATTCACTATCAAACCAAACCTAAATTATGTTTCTAAGGACCCCCATATAATCTGGCCTTACACTATTCATACAATCTTACCTATTGCTTAGATTCTTTACATAGTCATTATAGACCCCTCACTATAAGCACCAGACTAATTCCCACTTTCATGTCATTGGTCTTTTTGTCCTTCCTTCATCTACTCCTATACCTCATATCCCTTTCTGCCCTACCCACCTATACAATTCAACTTTTTCTAGACATAACTCAAAATTTTTATAAAAAGGGCCAGGCACATTAAGTAAGGATGACCCAGCTACTCACATTAATCCCAACTTTAGGGCTATTGTTAGCATGTTTCCCAGTCCATTTAACAGGAAAATCTTCCATCTGGCTTTGATTTGGCAAAATGGACATTGTTACCATAACACAACCTCCTTCTCTTCAGTGGTCCACATGTACTGTCTTTGGACCTGTAGTCTCTTTCCAAATAATGAAAAAATAAAGAGATGGAAAGAGAACCCTTCTATTTATTCTACACACCTACCAGATGAAATTTATTATCCCCAGAGATTTGAATGACAGGATTAGCAATGAGTCAAGTGGGCTTTGTGGAATAAGAGGATGATTTCTGATTTTATTTCTTTTAAATGTAGGTGTGAAATGTCCCCAGTAAATTAATTTATAAATAAAATATTCTGGTCCTTAATGACTGAACTTGGGATGCATTTTGAGGGCGGGTAATTTATCAGTATTTCTATCCTAGACATTAACATTACAGATATTCCTTGTTTAACGATCCATCTATTTAATGACTGGACTTAGGACTGAGGCGCTCTGTTTGGACTTATGATCTGCCACTCAGATTTATGACTCATATTGTTTTTGTACAGTTCCATACATCTTGTTTAGAGAGGCTCAATGTATTTCTTGTACAGTATATCTTGTTTCTATAGTACTTTATTTTTTCTGATTCTACTCTACAGCCCAATACCTTAGCTTTATGTTCTGTTGTACATTATAGTACTAACTGTAAGAGTTATGAAAATAAAGCAAAGTCATCAAGTTGAAGTTTTCTTTGACCATTTATCTGTTTTGAATATTGCAAAATGTGCATACTGTATACACTCCCTCATTTAAAGACAGATACATTTAACAATCTAGTCACAGGAACTGAACTTGGTCACTAAACAAAGAATGTCTTTATAGATAGCATTAGACTTACTTCTCAGCACATTCAACCATTCCTAGAAAGAATATTGTAGAATGATCATTTATTAATTTTAATTTTCATAGAGTAGTCCTCTGGACACATTGGTGCATAAATATA